AGGAAAATATTATCTAGGGAGGATGCGGCTCAGGTATGTGGGAGACTTTCAGGAGCCCAACAAATCTCCGATATGTGCTGAATCCGGATGGCTTTTGTGATGCGTGCTGAGTTCGGAGGAAGTTCCTTGATACCTGCTGAGACTGGAGGGCAGATAAAGGCCCTGAGGAGTGTTTAGAATTCCAAAAGTCCTGTTAGTATTGCTGACACTAAAAGGTTTCTGGTTAAAGATTTTCCTGGAGGCTGCTAGAACTCTGGCTTCAGACTGACTCACAACACCACTACTTCCAGCCCATTTCAGGGGCCAAAAAAATCACAACCCAGCCCAGAATCAAGGAGCCAGTAAATGGATTCTGCCTCTACCTCGTAAAAAGGAACTGCAAAGAACCATTGCAAAAGTGTGGTTATAGGAACAAATGGAGAATTGCAGCCATGAGTTTTAGTTTGGCAATGTGGTTGAATGATAGGATATTAATGGTAGGTAAAATCTGGAAATACAGCTAATGTACCTTTATTTCATTCCCAGAGAGGAGCCACGAAAGATTTTGGTTCATTATAATGACAAGCGATGGTTTCAGAGCTGAGATACAATGTCAAGTCTCCATCTTTAACTATCTTTAAATATTCCCATGACTTCAGGGAGAAAAAAAAAAAAAAAAAAACCTTTCTATATAGTATAGGGCTTTCAATGGCTGGGTCCCCGCCTCTCCCCCCAAAACAGATCATCAGGTCTTTTTCTTCTGGAGGCCTCTGGGAGACTTGAACCTCAAACCTTTAGGTTAGCAGCAAGGCAGCAGTAAGCGTTTGCATCACCCAGAAACTCCTTTGATACAATAAACTCCTTGCTGTGGTGTTGATTCCGACTCACAGACTTCATACAATAGAGGTATTGTTCTGCCACTCTTAAGTTCTTCATTCCCAGAATTCCCCTTCACCTATAAAGACTCTGCTCAATAATCCTTTTTGGAAACTTCCCCAATACCTACATGAACTATAACTGGCTTAGATATCCCTGTTATCCCCAGCACTCTTCCTGCTCTACGGCAATTCTTCGTTTCTTCCACTGAGTTACGAATGCTTTCAGGAACGAAAATGGGCTTTATCCTCATCACATAGGAAAGTGCCTGACAGAAGTTAAGGCAGCAATAAATGTTTAACACATCACAT